AGCCGTTTGTACGCTACTCCAGAACCAGAAATGGGGACTGTATTTGAATTAATGTCTTTCTGTGAATGTTTCTAAAGTTTGCGCTAACGTATGTAAGAGGGAAAACCAATTCTTTGTTGTAAGCGGAAGTTATGCTAAAATGCTCCGACTGTGTTATGAAAAATACAGTATGCTGCATTACAAAATGTGTTGAAACGTCTTTTTTTGCATGATAGTAACTGAGGAGGGATATTTTAACCTGTCGCCCATGCAAAATCTGTTTTCATCTCAATGTACATTGGCAGGGTGTGTTGTAACATTGAAACTAATAAATCTGACTACGAATTCAGCCCCTTGTTGTGTTGTGTCTCGTTGTGTTGCCATACGTTCTTGCGTGTTTCTAATTGCAATCTGTTTCTGTGTTCATGAAAGCCAAAATGAAGAACAACATATGGGGCCCTCTGCTGGAAGGAGATTGAATTGCTGTATTTGGACGCCGGTCTGAACTGTGGATAGAATTTCGTTGATTTTGACAACTAAATGAAATAAATGCTTAATAACCCATGGTTTACGATATTTATTTGAGGATCCATCTATATGATAATGGACTAATTTTACGTACGCCTATATTTTTTATGCATTATACGGGCGATTTTAAATTTGCCACAGATATAATTAAATTATTGCCTCCTGTATAGTAAGTATACAGTTAATCGGTAATTGTATAACAAACAAAACTGGGTGCATAGGTGCCCGGCGATACAAATCTAATGTGAAGAACTGCATAAGCAGACCGTATGCGACTCCGCTGTCGTGCATTGGAGCCCGAGAGTCTGTTCTCCTAAACTTCTTTCCAGCTAACAAAGTGGGTTATAAATTCGTGTATTTCAACACTCCGAAATCATCCTTCCTGACAGGGCTCGACAGACGAATAAAACAGATTAAAAAGCGTGATGTTACGTAGCCCCCTACAGGCGCTGCATAAAACTGCCGGGGAAGTGCATCGATCTTCTACGCTACATATGCTAATTAAAACTAAAAATGAGAAGTGATACGTAATAAGTAATCAATAGTACTAATGGTTGTGTATTGGTATTTAAAGTGCCTGTCACTAAAATAACTAAATCACGTGTATTTAATCCTTTATTTTTCTTCCCCTGACCTTTACCCCGTACACTCATATCGGCGAACCCATGACAAAAACGACAGAGGTGGGCAGAGGGCCGCTGTGTATGCAGGTTTTTGCGATAACTTTTGGGTCAGCTGTTCAAACCCAGGTGTGAGGACTCATCAGCCTATCAGTTCTCTAATTATTAATTTAATTATGGAGTTGCAGCGAAATCCCGCATACACACCTGCTCATCCTGGATAAGATTGCCCACCCCTATAAAGGCATGACAATCTGAATAGTTTGTGCGGAAGGATTTGCTGGGGGTCATACATTTAATGGGTGAGACTTGAATTTCAGACCAAAATAAAATGAGTGGGTTACATTTAATGTTGAGTTGTGGCCAATATATGTCATTTTTTGTAAATTTTATATATATATATATATATATATATATATATATATATATATATATATATATATATATATATATATATATATTTATTTTAAACACCGTAACAGCGTCACTGAATTCCATGTAAAACAGGAAAGCTGGAAAGCATTACAGTAGACCTATAGCCTACATTTACTCACTTTATTTAGAAGATCACAAAGAGAAAGAATTCACACGGATCCCGTTAAATTTGATTAGACAAACTTGGAAAATTTCACATACTTTCAGGTTTCTCCAAACGTACCTCTATGGCAGAGATAGGGGCGGATAGGGACCTGCCCATTTTGTATTTTTGGCCAGGATGCACATCAAGTGATCAAATTTTTGTTGGTGTAGTGAATTTCAGCAAACAATCCATCACAATGTGCTGTATGGGTAATTCCAGATGGCAGAGAAAACACGGAAAAACACAGTATGGGTAAAAAATGAAAAATACTGATGACTCAGTGACACTCCATGAAAATGTAATGACTTAATCCTATTGCCATGTGCACAGCAATTTTAATATATGTGCTTTGAATTGTCAGTTATGGTTTGTGAGTCTGATTTTTTTTTGCATGCAGGAGATGGGTATGCCGGTTTATCTGGCAAAATTGCCTCTATAAAAATTGGACAGAAGATTGAACTGTAAATCGCCTAATCTTACAGCGGCTTCTGAGGAAGGGGTCCATCTGGTGGTTGTATGTCGAATTACAAGAGGTGTGAATTAACCCGGAAAATATTAATCTCCGCTCCACCTACGCAAGAAAAGGAATGTAAATAACTGTTAAACTCAATACAAACCAACAAGGCTGGCGGATATTCAGAACTGCTATTCAAAGAATAAAAGCTTCCAGTTAAACCTCGGCTCAACTATGGTGTGTTAAGTGACATGCAGTTTTGGCTTCCGCTTGACTCAAGCTTTTAATTACTTTCTTGAGCTATTTTGATACACCTAGTTGCTTTTGTAAAGCTATTTTTTTTAAAGCCACCTGTCTGGTTTTCCAGGTGTTCATCAAGAATTTATTACAATGTATTTTTTCCAAAATCAAACCCTGATTTCATTAACTACTTTTGCTTTCTTATCTTGAATAGACCCAAACACACAGAGTGAAGGCATATTTTTCCGGCATGTAGGCCCAAGCACCTCTGCGAAATACTTAGAACACTAATCGAAACAAAGGAAACAACAACAACAACAATAATAATAATAATAATAAATCACCTTTCATACATCTGAATGCATCTCAAAGTGCTTTAGAGAGAGTGCAAATAAATAATAAATCAAAAAGAATAAAAACAAATAATAAAAGACAAATAATAATCAAACAAGAACCCAATCAGTCATCAGGAAATCATATTAAGATAAGGTACAAGTAAAAATAAAAATACATGAATATAACGCAGTGAAAGCTACCTAGAAGTGTTAGAGTGAAAATTGTATATACCTTATCATATTATGTGTGTACGCGCAAACATATAATCTGCTCCCTAAACTTAGAAAATACGTTGAGGTAGGATGTTCTCCCTGTGCGTCAAAGGGTGTGAAACAGGAATCATGACCCTGGGTGCGATAGTGGGATTCTGTCAACGTGGCAAAGGGCCCACCCGGAAGAATGCAATGTTTCCTGATAACCCTTTGTGTGCAAGAAGCTTCATCAGCCTTAACAGCTTGAAAACACCCCCCAAGTAGACCCCTCCTCGCCAAGTATAAAATAAAGAAGCCAAGGGACTGCCCGGTGTGACACTGAACTGAGGCGCAGATACTGTCTGTTGCATCTAAGTGAGTGGGCACCCTTGCGCAAGTAAAAGAGAGAAGCGTGTTGTCTCGTTATTACCTGAGTCCTAGAAGTGCACGGGTAGGAGTGGTAAGCTACTGCGCTTCCTCCACCCAGACGGGCAGAGGAGGTCAAAGCTACGGCGCTTTCCTCCGTCCTCCCCCACAAGAAGCCAGGGTAAAAAAAAATGTATGTTTTCAGCTGCTTTTTAAAATACTAAGAGAAGAGGCCTGACGAATATCTATAAGGGCAGGTTGTTCCAAATCTTTGGTGCATAAAAGCGAAAAGCTGCCTTTCCTTAGTTCTTGTATTTTACTTTCAGGTGTTTAACAAGCAAAGCGTTTCATGATCTTAAGGACCCATCTGGAACATATTCAGTCAGACACTGAATTACATGAAGGTGATTGTCCATTTAAAGCTTTAAATACCAATAAAAGTATTTTAAGATCAATTCTAAGAGAAACAGGTAACTAACGGAGTCTTGCTGAAACAGCGGTAATATGCTCAGTTCTAGTATGACTAAGTAATCTTGCTGCTGCATTTTAGACGCGATTTAATCTTTTGATGGTATTTTAGATAGTTGTGCGAGAAAACAAAAGCATGAGCCAGCTTGTTAGCATCTTCCAGGTTAAGAAATGGTTTTACACAAGCTATATTTCTGAGGCGAAAGAAGGCTTGCAGTCTAATTCACGACACTGTCAATGTGTGATTTAAATGTAAATTCGGGATCAAGAATAGCGCTTCGATTTTATTCTCAGTCTTAGTCTTTTTTTAATCTCGGTCCCATGCTGTTGCTTTGTTAATAATAATCCCCCACACCTTAATCAAAGTTAAGATTCATATACTGACAAAAATGCGGCTAATCCGCAAATGTGAAGATCCGTGTGTTTAAAAGTGAAGTTTTGTAAGTTAATGTAAGTAAGAGGTTTGTGTCAAAAGTAACCCACATCTTACTGATGCAGCCTGGCATTTCACCTAAGGCAGGCCGGTTTCAAAGATTTTCTCAAGATGATTACGTTTCCCCTTATTTGCGTTTAATCCTCTCCTTTGTTGAACCACGCCACAGCAAATAAATTACATGGCAAATACCAACTGATTTACAAGAAGGATGACGTGTTGTTCAGCCGTCACTCCCATTGCATCATCTCCAGCCAATGGGTATGTATTTAAGATAGTGGCACGGACACTTTTTGTTTAAACTTCTCCCCTCTTTCCACTTGCTCATTAGCGCCCCCTGGAAACATCCAGCCATAGTTGCCAGGTTACGTTTGAGGCTGCATCGGCATGTCAGTTTTGGTGGAGGTTCTGCTGCACGAAAACATTAATCTATGGTTTAGGTGTATTTCAGGATACTAAAATGGATGTGTCCTTTTTAGAAAGCCTTGATTACGGCTTCCACTTATCAGAATCCCTAGATGGAAATTATGTCGACCTCGCTGGGAGAATGAAATGAAATAGGCCTACCTGGAAGCAGTTAGTCAACCCATCAACCCATATAGGTTAATTATTAGTATTATTTCTGGCTGAACATTATGGCATGTTCAAAAGAGAGCTGATACTAGCATGTGGAGCAAAGGGGGAATTCCTCTTTGAGAATGCCTGTAGCCTGTGATGCTGCAAGTCCCCTTTTCTTAATTTAATCCCCTATGCACAGTAATTCAGTAAAGCGGACTGCGGCGATAGTGTGCGTCTCCGCAAAGCGCGTGAGGGAAGCGAAAACGTTATGGAAAGCATGGCAAACATAAAGGTAGCTTATTGTGGGTGGACTGGATGGACTGGTTTCTGCAGGGGAGGGGAGCTGGCTAAAACAAAATTGACAGGCCCATTAGGCACACGGAGCACTCGGGAGTTTCATGCTCATGCTTTGAGGTGACGTGTTGGGGAGACTGGCCTTACTGGGGAAGGGACTGCTGTCTCTGTTCGTACGGCTTTTTTAAAATTTATTTACAAGACTTGTACTTCAAAGAGGTGTGCTTCAGTATCCAGGAATCTCTCAAAGATCGATCTAAAAAGGTAAGAACAGTAAAGAAAACTTTAAAATAGCATGAAGAGTGTCTTAAATGTCTGAAATATGAACAATGTACTTAATAGACAATATCATACGTAATTAGCTTATATTTTGATACCTACATATTATAAATATAATTTAAACATGATCGGAGAGCCCCTGCATGGTTAGCATATCAGTTCTGGAAGTGTTGGTACTCGTTGGCATTTTGTTGCCGCCCCATATCTTTCCCTCCTTACCCACGTGTGCTGTTCAGAAGCTACAGCGACGTTTTTGTGACTCGTACCTTCCACCCTTCCGCTTTGCCAGGCTAAGATCAGTTTGCATGCCCGCACTAAACGCTACGTTACAAATGCAGCGGGGCGGCGTCACCCGGATATGGTAGTGGGGGGTATAGGCTTTTTAGAGAGCTACGGGAGATAGATTGATCCTCTTACACAAAACCTTTACATTTCAATGCATTCTGATGCTGACATTCTGGGCTATGTCCATGTTGTGCCAAACACTGTTATTAGTGTCATCCGGGGAACAAACTAAGTCACAAAATTGGGTGTTTCCCTGGACAAATTCAGTTGATTACCATAGCAGAACCACCCTGGGACATAAACTAGTAATCTTCAGGATATTGCTACTTGTTTTTTGCTGTTGATGAATTGAATCGTGTATGTGTTTTGTTTGTTTGTTTGTTTTTACCTGCTTGCATGAAAATAGTTTTCTATAATGCTTAAAAATGTCCTTGAAGAAATAATTATGGATTCAAAATATGCAGAGCTGCATGGCATATAGTAATAATGTATAAACATGAGTCCAAAGAGGCCTGCTGCTGTCTCCCTTCACCTCCTAAGTAGCGTGATGAGTACAGCCAGAGAGATGTCCCAGTCAATCACGCTGTACAAGAACCAGGACTATTCTGAGCTGAAGGCTGCGTGCCTGAACGACGACAAGCTCTTTGAAGACCCAGAATTCCCAGCTGAAGATTCTTCGCTGTTCTTTAAAAAGTCACCTCCTGGAGCCGTCAAATGGCTAAGGCCAAGGGTAAGGTGGAACAGAATTTGTATATTACTCCCAGTGGTAACAGAACATGCAGAACTTTGGGGTGATTCTAGCTTTGGTGTTAAAGCCACTCATTTGCATGGGGCCCCTGAAGTTTGGAGGCCCCCTGTTGGCCAATATGATTTTTTTTTACTTTGTACCTGTAGGAGAATCATTTCCTATTTGTATACTCATTCACTTTGTACAGGTATTAGAAAAAACAGAGTATTAGTATTAGTACAAACAGTAATAATGATGCAGTATATAAGAAAATGGGGAAAAAAACATAGTTTGCAGCCTCAAAAAGTCCTGTTTTGATCATCCACCAGCATGCATAGCATTGCTGTGCACCTTCATTAGTTTGTTACACCAAATCACAAAGCTATATGTTTCCCTGGACAAATTCAGGTGGTTACCGTAGCACAGTAGTTCTCAATTCTGTACGTATCCACCCCCCCAGAATATTTTCATTCCAACCCTGGGTTGGAATGTAAACATTTGGATGGCTAGACGAACACCCCTCTGGTTCCCAAATCGCTCCTCAGGGGCACTTCAGCCATTCCATGTATTTATTAAATTTTACTACCAGCTCATTTAATTAATTCACTTAATTAGTTAAAAATGATCTATTTATTAGATATATGAGGTGTGCGGGTGGTCAAGTCAAACAATACATGGGTGTGTTGTGTGGCTGCTGGAAATAATGGGGTGATTTTAGCAGAGGTTCTATAACGGCTAAGCTAACATACTTTGACAGAAGTAATACCATAGTTTTACACCAATATGAAGATCATTTAAACATAATTTTCTTTGGCTGCCTAAGATTTTTGCACAGTACTGTACTTAATGTCAATACAGTTTCATGCTCCCCAGTCGCCCAGAGGAGGATGGGGTTCCCTTCCTAGTCTAGGTTCCTCTCAAGGTTTCTTCCTGCTAGAGGAAGTTTTTCCTTGCCACTGTCGCCTCAGGCTTGCTTGGTGGCGTTTAGGCTAGGGTGACCAGATAATCCATGTCAGGGAGGACACTTTGAGCTACTTCAGGTTTTACAAACTACTTTCAAATTGAAAGGCTCCTGTGCTCGGCTAAATAGTTCAGCTCTTCTTGTGCTTTGACTGGTTTATTTCCTTGACTGAAAGACTCATCCAGCTGTTTCACATTAACATTAGTGACACATGCATGATTATAGGAGACTGACCAATCAGCACACAGCAAGAACTCAGTGCTCAAGTGAAATCCAGGTCCGTTTAATTGAAATGGTAATTTACAATTCCTGTCCTGGCTCAGTGTCCTCCCTGACATGGATTATCTGGTCACCCTAATTGAATTGAACTGTATATGTTTCTAATTCCTTCTCTAGTATTTTTGGCGCAAAATCTCCAAGGTTCCCAGTCTCTGAAGTTTTGGCTATTGACCTGTCCAGCAGTGCAGATGCTAATGATAAGTGTATATATGACAAGGTGTGGGTGTTCCTGAACATGATGGGCATGGCGGCTACATGCTATATAGTTCTGCTGATTCCCACGTGGAGACTAGCGTGTTGCTATAGTGTGTTGCTAACATATTGCTAGTGTATTGCTAGCGTGTTGCTAATATATTGCTAGCGTGTTGCTAACATATTGCTAGCGAGTTGCTAACATATTGCTAGCGTGTTGCTAACATATTGCTAGCGTGTTGCTAACATATTGCTAGCGTATTGCTAGTACGTTGCTAGTGTGTTGAGGGCTTGGCCTGACTTCCAGCTGCAGAAGGTGGAGGAAGCATTCCTGATAAAGATTGTGACACAAAGAAGTGTGAAAATGATCTGAAGTCTCAAGCTTTATTTGTTGCATAACGAATACATACCTTGTGCATGATTGTAGCCTTTTTGATTTTTTCCACCTGCTTCATAGATTGTGTTACTTATTTCCCTTTTGAGCACAAAGAATGATACTATACAAAGGTAAATAAATTCCAGCAACCACACAATACACCTATGTATTTTTTTACTCGATCACTAAGGTATAGATAACCAAGATTTAAATAACAAGTAAAATAACACCCTAAAAATAAAGCAATGACCAGGAGGAGGAATATGTTGAAATAGTATAACGCGGTATGATAGCTATTTAGAGCATTCAGTTAGCTTGCACACAGCCTGAGGGTAGAAAATTGCTCTGAGTCTCTAGGTGCTTTCTGGCTGTAATTCCCCGACCTCTTTTGAGAGGACAAGCCATTAAGCCATTGATGGGCTCTAGTCACATTTTAAGTGAGTTTCATTATACTTGAGAACAAAGGAAATAATTTGTAAAGAGAATGTTCATTCAGTGAGCGTTTCGAGTTCGGTAATGATCATACTTAGAAAGTCTCCTGAGAGGTTCTGAGGCCTTGTTACCAAAAATGTTTTAAATATATTCTTATATGGGGGGAGGGGGGGACAGTATCCAGCTTAGCATATCAGGACACCCTGCCTGTGGTCGGTGATCTTACTGTTGGGCCGGTGAGCAAGGCCCTTAACACCCAAATGCTGTACGACGATGTGGATGAAAGTTTCTGATACATAAATAAAAATGTAAGAACAACTCATTACCAAGTTTATCATATTTATAAACATCAGATATCACTGAAATGTAGGATTTTTTGGAAATGCTTCACATTGACTGCACCTTCATAATGCATTCATAGACCATTCAGTGCACCTTCATAATGCATTCATAGACCATTCAGTGCACCTTCATAATGCATTCATAAGCAGCATGTAAGTATACTTTAACACCCCAACATACCATAACAGCTTTAATATACATGAATAACAAACATCCAAGTATAATGTTTATCATCATAAAATGTTTGTTATTGATGTATATTAAAGCTAATAATGCAGTCAATGTAAAGTAACTGGACAAAAATAGCGAAAATGCCTGTATTTCAATCATAGCTGATATTTGTAAATATGATAAACTTGGTAATGAGTGCGTTACGCATAATGTGACTCATAATGATGCTTCATTGTTTTCCCACCAGGAAATCTGCGACGAGCCTCGTCTGTTTGTGGACGGAATCAGCTCCCATGACCTGAACCAGGGTGCGGTGGGAAACTGCTGGTTTGTGGCTGCCTGCTCCTGCCTAGCCCTCAAACCCGACCTGTGGGACAAGGTGGGCACCTGTTTTGGGGGAAAAAAAGGCTTCCAGAATATTCTGGAAATAGAGCTTTCGTCCAGGTTGTTTGGCAGACCCGGCCCAAAATAACCAGCCCTGTCCCCCCTGGATCTGGGAGTTTTAACTCCAGTTGTATATTTTTCATGTGACTGGTTGGAATGGAGATGAATAACTTTACATATAAATCAACTACAGAGTCGAATGATGCTGGACGTTACACCAAGACAGCTCACAGATCTTTTATATTTGCATCTTTGGTGAATATCGTAGGTAATTCCGGATTGGAAGGAGCAGGATTGGGACATCAGTCCCGATAAGGATGCTGGCATCTTCCACTTCCGCTTCTGGATCTTTGGCGAGTGGTTGGATGTGGTGGTGGACGACCGGCTGCCAACGGTCAATGGGGAGCTCATCTATTGTCACTCCAAGAGCAAGAGAGAGTTCTGGAGCGCCCTGCTGGAGAAGGCCTACGCCAAGTACGTCGTCCCCTCCCCGCCGCTGGCTTTTCCTCAGCACTCGCAGCACAAACGCTTATGCAAACTTAAAACACCAAGATTTTTAATACCAGAACTGCATTGAAAAATAACATTAATGAAAATGCCATGGTACTATGTCTGTATAGTAGTGTTGTAGTTCTCGAGACCGGTCTTGGTCTCGAGACCAATTTTTTGTGGTCTCGGTCTTGTCTAGGTCTCGACTCTTTGGTCTCGGTCTTGTCTTGGTCTCGACTCTATTTGGTCTCGGTCTTGTCTTGGTCTCGACTCTATTTGGTCTCGGTCTTGTCTTGGTCTCGGACATAGCGGTCTCGATGGGATGGGGAAAAAAAGAGAAAACTGCACACCCTCACAGAACAGTATCAATTCAAATGCAACCAGTCAGATGCATCCATTTCAAAAATGTTTCATTTTATACATTTTCTTCACGGACACTGCCAGTGCTTCACAGTCCACACACATCATACACATCGTATCATACATCGGCAAAGAAATGTCCGAAAATGTCCGCGAAGTCTATAGCATAGTTATAATCCAAATAAATTAGGTATTTTACATTGATTACAAAGCACGGTCTTGGAGGTGCAAGTCAATCTGGAGGCTCATTCTATCCATTCTCTTCAATTCAAAGCAAAGGATCATTACATAGCTGTATTCATAGCTTACCCGAGGCCTCTGTCCCTGGTATAAGAGACTTAATATGAACATCTTTCTGGTACATCCCATCTCTTTCCCTTGACGAGGTCTGATAAAATGGTTATAGGAGAGGATTGCTGAGAATATTATTTTCCATCAGGTCTCGTAACTATGACAAATCTGGGAGATTTTAAATGAGAGACATATGGACATATGGACAATATAATTGAAAAGATAACATGAATTTGATTTAACGAGTAATGACACTTTACAACAATACCTTTTTTCTCTACAGTTGATCTGGGTAATGTGATGTCGATTCTAGCCCTAGTCTGTTTTCGGTCTTGGTCTTGGTCTCGGTCTCGCCTTAGTGTGTCTTGGTCTTGGTCTTGGACTTGGTCTTGGTCTTGGTACCCTCAAGTCTCGGCAGTGTCTTGGTCTTGATACCCTCCGGTCTCGGCAATGTCTTGGTCTCGGTTTAGGCGGTCTTGACTACAACACTACTGTATAGTAGGAAGATATGCAAAGCTGGATCAAACCCAGATATCGCGGTCTTTGTGATGTGAGAATTGCATGTGCGTAACTTGCGATATTGATATTAATATTGCACATTGCCCAGTTTATTTGCTTTTCATGCCTCAATTGATTTTATACTCCCGTGGCAAATCGTCTGAATGAAACACCTGAATTCAGTGACTGAGAGATGCATGCCAGTGCTTTTGTCTGCCTAGTGTATGTTCTCAAGGCTTGAGTGATGCTGGTGTTGGGGTTGGGGTTGGAGAAGCTCACTTTAATGTGTAATCCAGTCAGGCTTGCATTCTTCTCAATCTTTACTGAACAACTAGGAATGCATGAAAACTGCTGGCTATATAGGGAGATGATGGATCTTTAGGGGCAGTGGGTGGGTCATTTCTGATCACAGCTGGGTATGATGGGCCATGCTGACTTTTTTGGAGGTTTACTAGGGGTGGGGCATGAATATTGACCACACCTGAAAGGTTTCTTGACCATGTGTGGCCCTCTGCGTCTCACAGGCTGTTCTTATGCTATGAATGCTTGGACGGCGGTCTGACGGGGGACGCGCTGGTGGACTTCACCGGCTGCGTGACGGAGTACGTCGACCTAGTGGAGGGGAACTATGCCAGCGACGAGTCCACGAGGTCCCGACTCTTCGAGACCCTCTCCATAGTGTTCGACAGGAATGGCATCATAACCTGCTCCGTGAAGGTGAGCGCACCGCGGAAGCCGCCTGGCATCATAACCCGCTCCATCAACATGCAAACTCCATGCACATGACACCGTGCCGGAGACTTGAACCCTGGTCCCAAAGGTGTGAGGCAACAGTGCTAAGCTCTGTGCTACTGTGCCACCCCACATAAAATCATGTCATATATAAACATTAGTGATACCTAATATTTGTTAGCATAAGTGTATAGTGTATCTTTAATATTAAGAGTCTTGGCTTGGGTGCACTGTACATGTTTGTCTTGGCTACCATCCACCTTCACGTTACCTGTCTCTGTGACCATGGAATCATGTGTTTCTTGTGGAAACTTGTAAACTTCTCAGTGCTATTAATTTTACATTTGTAATGAGTCCAACATGTAGTGCTCCCAGTGTGTTTAGTGGTAACTTTAGGGCCTTATTTAGATGTTTTGTATATTATATAAAAAGGTCTAGATAGCAAATGACACAAAAATTTGACATGTAAAGTGTACTGTACAGTACTGTTTGTTTAGAAAGTGGTGAAAAACGTTTTATGTTGTCTTTCGAATTAGCAGACTGTTACGGGTTGAGGTTAGGGGTGTCCGAGTATTATTTATGAATTTACTTTGTGGGAAATTTTCTCATTTGTGTCTACAAGCTTCTCCATGAGTTTTCTTCATAAGATCTACATGCTGCTCCATGGGATCTCCATGACTCTCCATGCTCTTGTCTAGGCTTCTCCGACTGAGATGGAGCACAAGATGGAGTGTGGCTTGGTCAAAGGCCATGCCTACGCGGTGACGTCCATCAAGAAGATGCGGGTGGGTCAGAACAAGAACTTCATGATCCGGATGCAGAACCCGTGGGGGATGGTGGAGTGGAATGGCCCATGGAGCGACAGGTGGGATGATCCGCTAGCCAGTCGCTCTTCTCGGAGCCTCATTTTTCATTCTGCCCTCAGAACATTTTTCTCTCGCTCACTTTTCCTCTAAGCATCTCCCTGTCTTTGACTTGACCCAGGTCTGAGGAGTGGAAGAAGCTGATGTTCATGGAGCGGGAGTCCATAGGGCTCATCGTGGACGACGATGGCGAGTTCTGGTCAGTGCTGTCTTTGTTGTTGGAAACAAGGAGTAACCAGCACTGGTCCTCAAACAGCAGCAGGCCGGCAGGTTGTGAAGAAAATTTAAATGGGATATGTGCCTGTGAATTATGTTGTGCCACAGGTAATGTTTATATGGTATTTTATCCACTACCAGGGGTGTATACCGGGGCTGGGCCACAGCCCCCAGCTGAAAGCTGATTGGTCCCTTGTGGTGCCACCTCTCTTGTCACTCACCAATCCAAAACATATCATTGGCTAATAAGCTTGCCCCCTCTGTATGAATCAAGGGCTCTCTTATGCCCCTCCACTTAAAAAAAATCCTAGAATCGCCCCTGTGAACTACTATTTACATTCCTAAGACTCAAACTAGCAGTCGTTAACCACGATTGGACACCATTTGTTTAGATCTGAAATGCAGAAATTCACGGATTTCCCTGGTACCACAGGATGACATTCGAAGACTGGTGTCACTACTTCACAAACGCGGAGGTGTGCCACCTTATCAACACATCACCAGGGAGCCAAGAGAAGACGTGGAAGCAGGCTGTCACCTTCCGCAGCTGGACCCAGCACGATGATCCCCTACTCAACCGTTGTGGGGGGAGTCCAAATTATCAGCAGAGCTTTCTGCAGAACCCGCAGGTATCGACCAAGAGCCCAAACTCTCGTCTTTCCAAGGAGGTTCCTGGGTTCTTGTGTGTTCAGTGTTGTACTGTTTTGCTTGTAGGTATGACTTTAAGTATGGGGAGGGATGCACACAAGGGGCGGGTTTGTTGTTTCTCATGTCCCATGTGAAAAGTCACTTTGGGTCCCTCTGCCCCCTTATTGTAGTGATTGTTTGTGGTCAATAGGAGGCCCCCAAACCTCGGGGTCCCACGAGTCAGAACGCAAGCATTTGTTAAAGCAAATAAACATAAGAATAAATGAGGTCTATTCATCAGAAGACATCAAAGTAACATTGACAGTCATGCTGTCAATCAGGGGAATCCATTATTGAATGGTAATATCCTTTTGATGTGGTAGAGAAGGTCCATGCTGACTTCATGTCATCCGCAGTACATGTTCGACCTGCTGAAGGATGATGAGGAAGTGCTGGTGTCCCTGCAGCAGAGAGACATGAGGCTTCTCAAACCGGTCGGCGAGGGGGAGAACCTCACCATCGGCTTCGTCATCTTGGAGGTACGGTGACCTGGGAAGCCCGGCGTGGCACGAGAAGAGGGGCGCTCTGCTGGCCGGCTGTCACTGCTCACTAAAGTCCTTCTGCTCCTTTTTCTCACCTCAGTATGAGTCGCTAAAGTAAGGCCAGCAGGATGCAGGATTAAGTAATAAACAGAATGGTGTAAACCATGGCGAATCCATTTCTATACAAAAGTTCCACTTTATTGTACTTCCCTAAAATGCTTTTGCCAAATTGCTTATTAGACATAAATACCCCCAAATATGTGCCCTAGTGTAAGGGTTTGGGGAGTGACAGGAAGGACGTGTGTGGTGTACAGGAAGAAAGGGCATGGTACAGAAAACAGGCTCACATTTACAGGAGTGTTCACCACGGTGTGTATACAGACTTCAGGAGCCACCCTGGCCAACACAACAAACAAAACAGTCTAACGAAACAAACCCAACCTTCCATAATAGAAAACAAAAGAAACAAAAGGACAATCACTTACCCTACCTTCCTAACCAAACATACAAAAAGAAACGGAGCACAGAAAATGGCCGTCACTCCCTACTATATACACGGTAATCCAACACATTTGATATGCCAAAGCCAGGGATTAGACTTAATGGTAGCGGTTAACTCAAGCAAAATGGTCAGTCATACAAAGAACAGTAGCAACAGTACCAGGGGCAAAGAGAAAGCGAGAAAACCAAGCAACAAACCAAGGTCATACTCAAGTAAGCAAATCCGAATATATCACAAACAAAAGCAGAGAGACAAACAGAAAAAGCCGTTAGTTTCTGCGTCGTCGGTCCTTTTCTGTGGGCATGCCGGAAATGACGATGTCTGCCGAGTGCCACGGGGACTGGGGCGGAGTCTTGGGTGCATCCGATGAATCTCCGGATTGGAGAAGCCTGCAGCCACAAAACCTTGCGGCACGTAACACCCACCCCCCCCCCCCCCCCCACACACACACACACACACAAACAAATGTGAACCTTTACTGAGTTTGCAATACAAATCACGCATCAGCCATTAGGTTACCTGATCCTTTCTTTTGAACGAACCGCTGGTTGAAGGCCTGAACAAACAAGGACCAACTCATTAGACGTTGTTGGTTCGTTTTACGCATTTGACCTTGGAAAACCAGTGGGTTATGATCGGTAAACACCGTAACAGGATAAGTACTATAACCCACATAAACACCCTCAACAGGGAAGCAGCTGAACATGGTTGTGATTGGTCTGTTTTCCAGGTTGAGCTTAACAGGAAGTATCGGCTCCATGACATAAAGACGCAGAAGATCGTGGCGAAGTCGGTCTACATGAATGCCCGCACTGTCTTCCTGCGTAAGGTGCTTCCCAGGGGGCGCTACATAATCATCCCAACGACGTTGACGCCGGGTGTGCTGGGAGACTTCATGTTGAGAATCTTCAGTGACGTCGATTGTGCCTGCAGGTGATTAGTCTGACTGAACATTACAGCTGGTAAATTTCTGCTGACATGAAATGAGCATATACGGGGGCGGGGCCACAGGGGGCCTGGCCCCAGATGAAAGGTGATTGGCCCACGGAGTGCTTGCGTCCCTGTCACTCATAGATTCGAAACACATCACTGGCTGATGATCTGGTTGGCCCTTCTGTATGATTTTTTTTTTTATTGGTCATTCTGTGAATTGTTCGAAGGAAGCCAAAACTGCAAGGTCCAAATGCAAAGTCAATCACCACCATCATCATTCCTCCTTCCTCATCCCAATTGGTCTCCCCTCCCCCTTAACAGAGTGCTGATGGACGACAAGCCCCAGGTGAAATGCTGGAGTGGCTTTCTGGGTTATCCTCAGGTGGTGACACATATCCACATAGAGGGAGTGGAGGGACTGGAGAACCATGACAACAGCCAAGGTGAGTTCAGGGAGCCACCACTCTGGAGAAAGCTTGTGGCACAGGCATGCTGGGTAGGACAATGTGGGTGGGGCCTATGCCAGCCAGGCAGCCCCCGAAAAAGGAAATGAAAAAGAATACAAATGCCCCCCTTCACCCCCATTCTCATAAAAATCTTACGTGTGAGATATGACCATCATAACAAAATTGATGGTGCAAATGGGCAAGTGGATGATTGGTATAAATAGACTGCATGGCTTTTTGATATCTTAGGGATTTTTGTGCATTCTTGACTTCCTGGGCCTGTAGGTATTGATCCCTATCTGATCATCCACTGCGAGGGACGTACCATCCAGTCTAGAGTCATTAAGGACACCATGGACCCAGTCTTCAACATCTCAGCCATCTTCTATAGAAAGAAACCCAGCAAGCCAATTGTTATCGAGGTGAGAGCATCCTAGAACAAGTTCAAATCTTTACGTGTTTGGATGTCAAACCAACACTCATTCAATGTTATTGGTCTCTCAAGGTATTTAGTAATTAGCTAGTTGCACAGACAAGCTATAGGGTACACAAACAGCATCCAACAAGTAAATTGACAGTATATGTTGGTCTTGATGAGATTAATTGGAAAACAGTTGTGTTGAGAGAGAAATTCTGTAATGTAATTCTTTGTATCACCAGGTGTGGAACAGCAATGACATACAGGACGAGTTTATGGGTCAGGTGGTCTTGTCCAAAACCAATGGTGAGGTAGATGATCAGATGAAGCTGCAGCTGAGCAAGAAAGACCAGAAAGCGACTGGCATTGTCAGTCTGAGAGTCATTACTTCCACCCAGCTGACCAGCATGTGACTCTGGCCCCCAGCCAATCCCTGATTGGTGAGGCTTTTTTTCTCCATACCTTCAAAGTGTGGTTAGTTGGCTTAAAGCGTAGCCAGTGTTGACCTCCATACCAGCATCAAAACCTGGAAATGCAAGGTTCAAACTGTAAAAATGAAGAGTAAAATGGTGCTAAAAAAAAGTGTGCAAGAAATCTCCACCCCCACCCCCCCCCCCCAAATCAGCCAAAAATTCACCCATGTTGAGTTGAAGTCTTCACTTCGGCCACCAAGCCTACATTCTGTGCATGAGGTGGAATTTGCAATCAGGACCTATTTGGGAAGTTAAGGATATTGCGAAAGTGTATTTGACAACTATGAGTTCCTGGATAGGACTTTATCAGGGTAAATATAGTAGTCTATGTCTTTGATTTTCTATCATGTAATGTGTCTCAACTTTTTTTTAATCATCATATATCACAATCTGTTTCCTTAGAGTATCTGTCCGTCTTTTCACATTACACTAGTGATTTTTTTAAGTGTTGTACAATGACTTTTAAGAAATTGAATGGCACGTGTGACATAAAATTATTAATTTAACGTGTTCTTATATAAGACATTCTACTAATGTATTTCAGCTAAGTTAAAAACACATTTATACAAGAATAAATATCTTTATTCAGCATCACCGAGAGCAACAAAAAGTGTAAATGGAAATCATGAAAAAATTATCAGCTTATAGAGGCTTCTGTTGTCCTGTGTTTGACGTCTGAGTTTTTTTGGTAATAAAACCATTGCTAATTTAATCATGTGTATACTCGTGCTTGTATATCACACTGCTCAGAAGAGCTTTCAATGAAATAGGACAGCATGCTATAATGTAGAAAGAAACTCCCCTTTGAAACGTTATTGATTAGAGGTTTTTTTTCTCTCAATTTTATTTCAGTTAATTTCCCAAACTTTAGGGTTTTTTTCCATTTGTTTTACACTAAAGACACTGCCATGCATAACTTAGAGTAAAAAAAAATCTGCTGTTTCAATCACAATTAAAAATACCCAATTTGAAACAAATCGCTCACTTCACACTTTCGCCTCTCGTGCACTCTCTCTCTCTCTCTGTCTCGCCTTAAAAGAATGGAAAAAATGCGCTGAGCTTCATGGAATGTCCCAGCTGTTACAAAATGTCACCGTCTATACCGACACACATCCCATCTGCGGTCTGTCATAATACACATTTTTAGAAGAGTTCACCACATGTATAGATATACACATTCAGAAAACAAAAGCAGGAATGTAGAGGAGCAATGAACAATATTTTGAACTGAGAGTTGGACATCCACTATCTTGGGAGGTATTTTTTTGTGCCTCTTCTATTGAACCCTGACAGATTTCCACAGAGAAACTGAACTGAACCAACCTAAAAGAAGGGAACCATCTTACTCTCTCTAACATGCACGTTACCGTAACAAGTCACGACAGATAAAGAACTCTGCTGTTGTTTTTTTTTCTCCTCTGTACATAACTCTGCCACAAACACTTAAAATACTATTACTGCTTGAGGGCGTAGATATTTTTAAATAATTTTTTGAGTGGACCAATTCATTAAAAAATATATGCCACGGAGCTGACTGCACACCGATACCTGAGCTTAGATTTTTTCCAATTTTCCAAGCGGCTGGTTTATGTGAAAATATACACGGCACCAGTCCTGTATTCCCCATGCCAGGGGGGGGGGGGGGGGGTCCGCTTATGGCCTGTTTAGTACGCGTAGCTGAAGGCAGGTTTGGGGGATCATGCCCCACAGTGTTGTGGGTGGGATCAGCACAGCGGTGATGTCCAGGGTGGGGTCGAGGTAGGTCCATCCTAATGGAACTGGAAAGCCTTCTCCTGGGGGGGGGGTTGGGGTGTCACAAGAAGAGGACCGTTGATACCGTGCGAGAGGACAAGGTAGAGGGAGGACCGGCATTTAGTGCCATTTCAGGTTGTCATGAGCCCGTTGAATATGGAGGTCAGAGATCCAGTCTAGATTGTTCATGACTACTGCATGAAGAGCTGCAATACTATTGATAGTGGTTTTGTAGTGGGGGCAGTGTGTGGCTCAGCGGGGTAGGCTGCTGGGCCTGTGATCGGAAGGTCGCTGGTACAAATCCCGGGCTCAGCAGAGTGATTTTACCACTGGGCCCCTCAGCAAGGCCTCTAACCCTCACCATCGGGCCCCTGAACAAAGCCCTTCACCCCCAGTTGCTCCAAGGTCTGTCTGACCCTGCTTTCTCAAAAAAAGAAAAAAATTTTCATCCCTTTGGGAAAAAAAGAGTTTGCTAAATAAATAAAATGTAAACGTTTTCCTCTTAACAGCCCAAAACTAAGCACGAGTTTCTCTGAACTCTAAGTTGGTAGCTTTTCTGTAGTTCTGTTTCCTTTCGGGGAAAAAAAAGGGGGGAAAAGAAAACACTTTAAATAATTATTTGTTAGCTCCACCTTTACTCTATCAGAAGATTTTGTGAGTGCCCCGCCAGATTATAAGCTATTTACATGAGGGCGGGGCTCCGTTGCTATGGAAATGCTATTTTTCTCCATTAAAATCCCCGTTCTAAATCAGCATTTTGACCTGCAGTATCGAAAACTCTTTGACGGCTTCTAATCAGGCGCTTGACGTTTTCACTCAGGTTCTCAGCAGGAGAACAAGATTAAAAAAAAATATAGCAGGCTGGAAAATAGGCATTTCGTGTTGTGTCATTTATAGTAATCATTCATGTCTCGAAAGTAGGGTACAGTCACAAAAACGTACACAGAATCACTAATAGAATCAAATCGTTTGTTAATGACAAGCTTATCCCCCTCCCCACCCTAAAGCACACACAAACATACATACAGGGGACACTGTTTGGAATAGCTGAGCTCAGGGGTAGAAGTATCAAATCCCCCCCCCCCAAAAAAAAAGTGTCGTATAATACCACTTGAATCCAGGCCTAGGATAGGTTGCCAGAATCCCTTCCCTCCCACACCCCAAACAATACCCCTACATACATACACCCACACTAAATGCTTTTATGTTTCCATACACAGTTTTGAGGAGACAGAATGGTTACTTAAGCTCTGAGAATTGCTTTTAAAAAATAGCACCCCTTATAAAAAGTTACACGCTTATTTCGTGAATATTCGGATACATGCACACATACGTGTACATCCGTGACCCATTTGAGGGTTGCGCTAATTTGTACAACTGGCCTGTCAAACTGTACAGGAGATCATCGTTAACAGCTAGGGGTTGATTCACATCAAGGTAAATATTAACTTGTCAAAGAAAGATCGTAGTTCTCCTACATCTTGGCCAAAACGCATCAAATGGTAGCTGTCCAGGAAAAAGCCTTTTCGTGCAAATTGACTTTGGCAGATTATCCCCATTTTTTTTTCGAGAGGCACGAGAAGATGTGGTTTGTTGGGATAATCTCGCCAACGTCTTTCACAAAGACCCATGGCCCATACAGAACAGCATGCTTGCCTTGTGGTTAAACTGCTGGAGAATGAAAGCCTTGTTGTATCTGTTCAACAGTTTCCCTCAGGATAAATGAAGTTTTATCTTATCTTAAGGTTAACTTCTGAGCACACATCCGGCTCACTGCGAGTCACGTCTTCCGCATACCAAAGAGTCCGTTCCACATTCCTTCTCCTGTTGCGACAGAGTAAAAGATGAATGCAAGCACCAAGTCACTCGTATTGCAATACTGGTGTGTGCATGCCAAACGCGTCCTGCAGGAATGCCTTGTGGCACGTATGTGTAAATGCATAGCGCAGAAGCTCTGAGAGTGTAAGTCATTAGCATGCAACGCTTCCATGTTTTTTTCTTTTAATTATTATGATTTCTGTGTTGATTCCACATGCTGTCAAGGTGTGTGCGAATCACGGTCTTTTGAATCTGCATATTCAAGTCCGGGTAAGGCGATGTGTAGGGTAAGAGTTACAAAAAATAAGCCCATAGCTGTAGGTTTGCGGTATGTTTCTTTTAACGCTGACTCCCAACGTTCACATGCATGGATGGCATGAATTCTTTCACAAAGAGTATTAAAAAAAATGTATCCAAGGTCTCTGCCTCTATGGCTACCATCACAGGAAATACGGGGGTGCCGGACGGACCATGTTTGGCCTACCATTCATATAAGATTAGCCTTCATGCAATAAGGTACCAGGGTATGACCTCAAACTCTCTCTGTGCACATGGTCTGAATGGCTCTCTTCATAGCGAGACTGGAATACGGGGGGATAAAAGACAGAAGGACTCGCCGTGTTATCAGGTGAGACTCTGCAAACTGCAAACTTTCGCTAACTTCAAGACAATAACCCCACTGTTTGTCACTTTGTAACCTCCTGTGAATCTACCCCTCTGTGTTTATCGTGAATGTATGCCTTGGCGTCTTTCTTCATCTTCAGCTTATGATTTTGATTACATCAGCAGAGGAACCTAATTCCTATTTCTAAGAATTACTCGTTTGCTTCAGAGCCCATAGTTGGCCATTTTAAGTTGCTATTAACTGTTTTCACAGTCCCTTTCAGGTTGATCCGAAACAAACAAGCGTACAGAAATGCTCGATGATCCCAGATCAGTAATATCCTTCAATAACATAAAAAAGAATGATTTCCCCAAACTTTTCCATAAAAGGTAAGCTATCTCTCATCCACATACGTTGGCACTCACTCACACACAGTTCTACACACTCAGAAAGAAGGTACAGTATGGACTTGTGAGTCACATCAGATAGGCATGATCATGCAGCTCTGTTGGGTGTCCGTAGTTCTAAGGTTGGTCTCTTGTGAGCAAAGATGTCCGATAGTCCATTTTGTTAAGAGGGCGATGGAGGAGACAAGAAAACTGTAGGCTTCATCTAAACAAAAGGCCCTTCTGCACACCAAAGGTGTTTTAAAGTTTTGTTTTCTTCTCGAACCGTTCTCTGAATCCAGAGGATGAGCAGAAGGATTTTTCCCCCGAATGCCATGCTCCCCCGCTGCACACGAACACTTCTGACAGACGCAAGAGTTCCAGGACTCAAATGAGTGCTCCCCAGCTCACATGATGGCCTGAGCTTTTTCGATTCCCCAAAGTGCAGAAGTCCTTTTTCCATTTGGGGGTATTTTGGTCCTTATGCTGCCCTGTACGAGTTCCTCGATGGTCTTGCATTGAAGGGGGAGGCATGGCTTAACGGCTGCCATTCTTAATGGCATCCTTTGCAGCTACAATCAGGGGCGTCAGGCTGGAGAGTGGTTTGGCCAGTTTCAGGAATGAGTGCTACCAAGTAAATGAGAAGCAATGGAAATTAGTCTCACATTCCGGACACTGAAACAGTGCCCTTCCTAGACACCCACAAAAACATGCAACGGGAAAGATGCCGGACTTGGCCGAACACCTTAATTATAAACAACACATTCGCCAGCAATTTGAAAGGAAACCCCAACAAACTTCTAGAGAGGGGAGAGACAGACCACACCTGCAAGAGGTCCTTAGCAGAGCCTCTCCGGTCTACGTCCATCTCCAGGCACCGGTTGAGGAAGTCACGGAACACAGAGGACAGCCTCTCCGGGTTCTGGAGCTCAGGTGTCCCGTTGGTTGCGATTAGGTACAGAGCCTGTGTAGACATGAGTCACTGTTAATGGAATTCAGCTGACTGGTTCGCTACCCCATTGATGTTAATACTGTTTTGGCCACAGACCAACAAATCAAGGTATAGTGATTTCTATAAATTTTTTATGTTTGCTGCACCAATGTGCAGCTACCGCATTCCTGGGGACTGCAAAAGCGGTGAAGACATTGCGGTTTCACAATTCTGAAGATCTTCAGTTATTCCACTGGCAAGGTGTTTAGACCAGATTAGTAAAAAGAGAAATGAGGCTTTGAAGATTAATGTGTGCCTTCAAATCCCAACTGGTACAATCTACTCCGCGTTGATGCCTTCACTGGCTCCACTAGCAGTGCACGGTACATCGGCCGGACTGACAGCCTCTAAGAGCCTTGAAAATGTTGATTTGTTTACAGAAGTCCTTCATGTTTGACTTAGCCCAGAAATGCCTGATAGTCAATAAACTTCTCTTTGGCAAAGTGATATTATGGCTGAATAGACGTTTTTGCCTGAGGAAAATCCGACTTGAGTTTACCAAGGTGTTGCTGAATGTCTTAATGTGATTCTTTACTAGGGGGGCTTACCCTGAGCGGATTCTCATTCAGATACGGTGGTTCACCCTCCACCATCTCAATGGCCATGATGCCGAGAGACCAGATGTCCACCTTGGGGCCGTACGCCTTCCGGGTCACGACCTCGGGGGCCATCCAATAGGGCGTGCCCACCATAGTGCTGCGCTTATTCTGCTCGGGGGTGATCTGGGCACAGAAGCCGAAGTCGGCTGCAAGTGGTAACAGGGAGAGGGAGTCGGGGAGAGAGGCAGCATTAAGTCTCGCTTTGCCAGAGCATCAGGCTCGCAGCGGGATTCGCAGGAGATTTCTGAAAGGGTACGAATGTCCTCCTGTGACAGCCACTCACTGAGTTTCACGGAGCCATCCATTCCCAGCAGGATGTTATCGCTCTTGATGTCTCTGTGGATGACCTGGTTGGAGTGCAGGAAGTCCAGAGCCTGAAGGCACTGCGGAGACACACCAACGTGAATTGTCGAAGCCACAGTCGAGTGTGTCAAACTGATACGGGCGAAGGAAGACAACAAGTCTGAAACCTTTCCTTCATGAGATATGCCAGATATAAGAGAGCAAAGGAAGTGACTTCCACTGAAAGTATACACCCAGATGGTCTGATGGAAAGTTGAAGGCAAAGACTATGTGGTTTGTACTGGATGAGAATTGACCTAGAAGGGCAATTAACATTTTTTACATTTTATTTATTTTTCAGATGCTTTTATCCAAGTCAACATACATTTTTTCGAAACAGCAGGGTCAGACAGTCCATGAAGAAATTAAAGATTAACCCTTTGAACCCCATCCATTTTGAGTTTTTCTATCCCTTTGATTTTAGGCTTATTACATTGTATGTAGCCACATATACTTTATGGTTTTGTTTTCTGGACATTTGGAGCTACTCAGATGTGTCATAATTTGATTTGTAACTGCTGACTGTTTTGATATCCTTTCTATGAGGAAAAACTACTTGCGCCTACTGAAATGTCTCAATTTTTAGTCTCATCTATTATAAAAATTTGCAGGCACTACAAATATAATCCTATAAATGTTGCAATTAGAGTGTCTGTGATGTGGGAATGCAGGGGTTTCATTTGGGATCTTTCTATGACTCAGTACTGTGAAGGAACACATGGTTAGTGACAGGCGGAAATGAACATCTGTGATTTTGCATCCATTTGGGAAATTGTTGAAATTATCTGATAGACAGCAATGCATGGTTTTATGTTTTTTTATTTATTACTTTATAAGATCTGAAAGAAACTGATATAGAAAAGCACTGATTAGTTTATGATCCACTGAAGTGAAGAAATATTGCAATTTTCGTCAATAAAACAATGGACACCAAATCCTAATATAACCTCAAAACAAATACCTGTAGGAGTAACATAAATTCACTTTGTTCTGATTCGTGGACCATTGTGGAAGCGAATATGTGCTTTGTTTTCCGGGGTGTGTTCTTGTGGGAAATGTATCAAGTATGGGCCTCATTTTGCACAAGAGTTCTCTGGAATAGTTTAGCGCACGATGTTGCAACTTGGACGACCGGATCGAATAAATTCTTTCAGTTCCGAAGGTATGCAGTTCACGCCTGTGCGTTATACCTATCCAGAGTTACGAGCCTGAGATTAATAGGTGTGAAAATAAATGCGTTTTGTGTGTGTTGGGTTCTAAGACTTAAGGACCTTGCTTAGGGGCCTCAAAGTCTATTTGAGCTGGAGACCTTCTGAATACAGGAACAGCATCCAAACCTGCAGAGCCACACGATAAATAATGGGACCGATATATCCAGCTAACAAATGCTATTTATTGGGATATTGTTTTTAGTTAAGGCCGTCCTCAGAAAGGTTTCCCCAGCAGAATAAGAGAATTCTACAAACAATTTCCCTGAAACGTTAGCTATCATTGCCGTCTTTGGCCAAGGTGAAACGCTCCAGATTAATACCCCAGAGTGCTGGGAGTGTCTCTGTGAGCTGAGTATGACATCTGAATGAGGAAGAGCGAAAGCAGCACGGCCAGCAGAAAGCCACATGCCATACCTCTCGACAGACAGCGGCGATCTGGCCTTCGTCCATGCAGGTCTCAGTCACCACATCCGTGAGGGAACCTCCAGCCAGGTACTCCATCACCACCCATAGCTCATCCCCAACCAGGTAGCTGTGGAGAGCGAGAGGGCGACACCATCACACCTATGGCTGGACTCGTGATCACCGGCTGAAGTTTCACGAGTGACACACACGCAGGCACCAGATAGGCAGCTATTAGTTATCACAAATCTGTGGATTGTAAGGTATCTATGCCTAGATATAACGTAAAAGATCTCCGGGTGAGACTTCTTGAAGAACAGCGCCAGTCCATCCGTTATCTAACCCTACCTCCAGCATACCACACCTAGATTCACGTAAGACTGATTAGCTAACGGTTAGCAATTCGGGCTATAGAGCACATTCGAGGGAATAACACCAATGCCCCCCCTCCCCCGTGACTTGCGAAACTCTGCCTTCAGATAGTGATCTGTGCTCATGCTGGTATGCAGATTCCCCTCTTGTTGACATTCCTGGGCAGAGCGAGAAGCGCAGCAGGACGCACCTGTCCAGGTAGTTGACGATGTTGGCGTTCTTGTTTTCCCTCATCACCAGGATCTCGTTGATGATCAGCTCCTTCTTCGGCTGCTGCTGCAGGTTCATCTGCTTGATGGCCACCTGAGGGAGGATGGGCCATGATTGCTGAGTGAGGCACAGGCTACCAGAGCTTCCTGGAGCAAGTAGCACTGTGCTGGATGGAATCCTGCTTCAGCCACCGCCCAGGGTGAGAGGAACAGCCAATAGCAGCCGGAATCCCCTCATGACCTCACCATGACCTCAGAGTACAATCCAGGTCTAATCTAATAGCATCTTCAGCTGTTTCCGTTGGCTCAGGTGCTGCCACTGCCTTTCTATTACAATTACAGTGCTCATGTAACGACTTGAAATACTTGTTTAATTCAGTAAAAGTATTGCACGTTTATGGGTGTTAACAGAAATCATTACTTAATTGATTTTTTACTACACACATACACACACACACACTCAGAGCTCTTGAAAAAATTAAGAGACCACAGCAAAATTTTCAGTTTCACTCATTTCTCAATGTATGGGTATGTGTCCGTGAAAAATCAGAAATCTACATTTTTGTTGCAAACTGCAGCCTAGCTCTTCCCTGCTTCTCATTGATGAAGGGGTTCTTCCTTGCTTTATGGGTCTTCAGTCCTGCTTCTAGGAGCCTGTTATGAATTGGCTTAACAGTGCACTTCATACCACTTAATGTTTCCCATTCTTTTTGAAGGTCACTTGAGGTCATCCTCCGATTTATGCGGCTTATGTTGGATAAGTTGACGGTCATCTCTGGCATTAGAAAGTTGCTTCTGCCCTCTACTGGCTGGTTTCTGGTCGTTCCCAGTGTCTCCTGCTTCACCTTATTCTGCACTGCTGTCTTAGACACTTTGAGCCTGTAAGCAGCCTGCTGCTCAGCGTAACCTTCTGCCAGCCGAACCGGGATTAAACCACGATGTAGAAATGCAGATTAAAAAAAAAATGTAGAGTGGTCTTTTGACTGTTTTACAGAGTCGTATATCTCACATTAGAAACAACCAGTAGTGTTAGCAAAACATTAATTTCAAGTAGTAAGAAACTGAAACCCAAATTATAGTTAAGCTGTTCTAAGTGTCCCATTGAGAGCCAGTGACTACAATGGCAATTAACAGCAAAACGGGAAGAACAGAACTGAATGTGTCAGTCAACAATATTATGACATTTAATAAAAATAAAATGTCCGTGTGGATGATATGTGCAGTAGGGGTGGCACGGTTCACAAAACCCACGGTTCGGTTTGTATCACGGTTTTAGGGTCACGGTTTTCGGTTCTTGTTATTTTTTCTTTTAATCTTTAACACTCCAGAAATGTACTTCAGCATATGATATATAGCTTAATTATCCACAATTTAGGATACAGTATTAAAAAAGTTATATCATGTAATCATACATAAACTGAATTTGACTTGACTTAAAGCACATTATTAAAATTATTAAAGATTATTAATCCCAGAACAGTAATAAAATAAAAGTCTTGCCTTAACATAAATGCTAAAAGAATAGATCGCTTTAATCGCTATT